CATTCTACCATAACCGATTTAACATCGAACTTCCTCGTCCTGCGGAAGACACTGCGTAATCCGGCATGGGATGAGAGGCGAATTGAACTCGTCTGATAAAGGAGTGGTAGGTTCCGTTCGTATTTTTTTTAACATTGCAACATAAAAAATATTCTGTCCAAAGAAAACATCTACTGTTTATTCAATGCAATAATGTAACACTCAAGAGCTTGGTTTTTATAATCATAACTCCACAAGACCGAAACCAGCCTATTGTTTTGTGTGCAGTATTACTGTACCCCCCTGGCCACAGTATAATGGAATCGTCTGACCTACTTATTTTCTTGGAAGTAGACAGTCACGCAACAGTTTGAAATGGCGGACGAGCCAGTGTTTACATTTTGCGAAAGGTTGAAATTCGAAGTGACAGTGGAAAATACTTGACTGACTGTCGAACCTGAACCCTGCAGAGTCGAAGAATAGATCCTTTTCTGATCGACCTATAACCTGTAACTCATCAAAGACTGCGAGGAAGAGTGACAGTTTTTATGACCGGCCTTGGAACATTGTTCGATCATGATGGATTCCACGTAAAGTGTGAACCTCCACCCTTCGTGGAAGGTGGCAGAGAACTGCATTTCAGTTTTTGACATTTTGAAAGATGCACGTCATGTTTTTGTGTTTCGCCTGATATTTCCCAGTACATGGTTGGTGGAACCACAAATAGCTGAATATGTAGTGCGGCAGTGTTGTATTGAGTTTAAATATTCTTATGCGATAGATGAAGCGCCGTGAAATCAGAATAAATTTTCAAGCATTTCCAAATTGATACCGTCTGATTTGTATGGCGCAGTGAAGCGCCGTGAAATCAGAGGCATTTTCAATCCAAATTGATACCGTCTGATTTTATGGCTTGACCAATCAAATTCGAGCATTTCACGTAGCCATGGTAGAATTTGTATTATACTGTGAAGCATTTCGATTCGGGGGTCATCTCAAATTTTTGCATATAATTTATAAAATCTTTAATCCTCGCAAAGACACGAGGGCCTGTGGGTAAGAGACCAGATAAAAAGCTTTCCTGCACTTGAATCGCATTCAAGATTCCTCCAGAAAATACCTCTCTGAAGATCTTTCTGTAAGACGAATGTGGATGATGTTTGTTCAGAAGTATCAACCAGAGCATTATGAGGAGAAGATGGCAGATGGGATTACTCTGGTCCTATATACCGAGATATATTCAACATAGAGTTTAAAATCTACTTTGGTCAACCACGTTCGGATACATGTTCAACATGTGATGCTGGTAAAATAGAAATTGATGCATGCAGGGAGACTCTTACAAATGGAGGCACTAGTGATCTAGGTTGTAATGAGGTTGAGAAGGAATTGAAAGATGCAGAACTGAAGCTAGTCTGTCTCACAGTCCCTGAACCACATTATTTTCCCTACTGCCAAGCTCTCTCTGCAGTGCTAAAGCCCTAAATGAAGCAAGTCTAGATTTCCTCAGGTTCTGAATCTCTGGTCTCCCTAGGGCTCCTTTTCAATATAAATGGGCTTGTTTGTTACTATCAAAATTGTATATATTCAGACACTAAGCCTTAGTCTAAACTGAAGCTTGCATTAAATCAACCAAAAGCGGACAAAGGATATGATGTTCTCAGAAGCAAACAGGATGTTTCTAAAACTTTTGGGTAGGAGTGGAGAGATCTTTTGACAAAGATGCTTTCACCATCGATGCCAGCGATACCTTCAGTTTGATTTACAGCAGAATCTCCCCTTACCTGTCCTGAGCCACTCAGATATTTTCTACTGTCGTCAGTTGTGAGTTTATAACTTTGGTATCCATGACACGAGCACATCAGCTGTACGATGTGCATGTGGCCCGAATATTAAGCTAAACGAGGTAGCAATGAAGTTACCTCATGTTTGAATAACTATCTACTCACACATCAAACTGGCGCCAAACACTAGAACCTTTTATCATGGTTTTATCTTTTATAAAAAAATATACTCTCTTATCTTGCATTAATCTGTTACTTAATAAAACAAATCATAGCGTAGCGATACATATTGTCTTCTGCATTAATAATAATAATAATAATAAGTACATTTATAATGCGCCAATCCAGACACAAAGTGTATGCTCATAGCGCTACATAAGAGATTCTGACATCAACAGGTTAAGAGATCGCGGTTAGAAATTATTAGAGTCTATAGAACTGAGTGAAGATTAATGTTTTAAGACTGTCTTTGAACATTTGCAGAGTAGGGATTCCTTTAAGATAATCTGGGAGTTTATTCCAGAGAGTGGTGGCATTGTAAGTAAATGATCTCTGACCAAATCGTCTCAGACGTGGGGTTGGAACAGAGAAGAGATGTTGTTGGGCAGATCGGAGGACTCTAGATGGGTGGTAGACTTGTGTGAGTTCAGACAGGTAGGAAGGTGCTGATTGGTGATAACACTGATAAGCCAGTGCAAGCACTTTATACTGAACACGTACATCAACAGGTAGCCAGTGCAGTTTCATCAGTATGGGCGTGATGTGCATTCAGGTTAGTTTGACATTAAGTATGACCTAGATCATACATTCCTCCACATGACGTCATGAATCAAGTCCCACTTTCACAACTTACCATAGGCAAAATACTGACACCATTCTAATGAAATTCATTCATATTTTAATGCATACAAACTTGTATGAAGGAACGAACAATCTATTCGACTTTTAAATCGATCTGTCAAGTAATAAACATTTCAGAAAGTTCAAGGTCATTTTCAATTTTCAAACACGTTTATGTCATCATTTAATCGGAGTCACTGTCGAAGATCACACGTCTACGCTTTCGGTGAGTTTCGAGGCTCGTGCAGTTTGTTTGAGATGACACGTTAAAATTGATATTGAAGGTGCCGCCGTAAATGTTACTGTTGTTGAATAATCCGGATGTCATTCCGTGGTGTGCATTAGTGTTTTGGTTTACCTGACTGCTGTTAGGCCTACATTCAAACGATTTTAACAGTGCCATGCGTTGTTGGAGAGAGTTGGCTTTAGACGAATTGTCAACAGGAACAAGAGAGTTTTCTTTAGGATTGAACATGCAATGGTGAGTGGAATTTCCGCCCCTTGTTTTAGTCTCCCTTTCCCAAAACTCAAGATATGCCTGGCCATCAGAATCTGTTTTAAGTTGAACGTCACCCCATTTTAATTTTCAGCTTTCATCCCGCCCACGCAATCCAATCATTTTAGTAAAATAGTACCATAAAGTGTTCACATTTGACCGAGGTGAATGACTCCCAAATTCGCCCTTTTCCCACAACCGTTCCTCATCTTCGACTGACATAGACTCGGATTTATTGGGCAGATTCCTTTTACCTTGGTGTTTTAGTTCTTTCCTTTTGGCTTCAAGAACTTTTCTACTGGTGCGGAATACCGCATCTCGCACAATGTTAAAGGGGTAATCATTGTCACGAAGGTGGGGATCAATGGCGCGAAGGTGGGATGTTAATGTGTCAGGTTCGTAGGGTTCACCATTGTCCTTCTCCAGAGAAAGAATGTAGGATCCAATAAGATCATCCAGTTCTTGAGGAGGGGGGGTCAGCATGTCTTGTTTTCACATTGTTTTCCAATAAACAATGGTTGAATATAGAAACAACACTGTTTGTTTTCTTTAATGTGCTGACACTTTTCTTGGTCTCGATGTATGCCTTGAGATCTTTGATGTTCTTTGTTACGAGAGGCACTGGTGATGATTCCAAAGTAATCATAGAGTATTCCAGTTCAAACGTACCAAAATTCTCGTCAAATAACATGTCAAATAAGTCTTGATCGATAGTACCATCGATGTTATTGTTTGCCGACATTTTGACAACGAGCAGGCGATATATGTCACGTAAAAAAAGACAACTTTCTTTCAATCTTTTAATGTAATCAACAAGTACGATATTTTTTTTATTTTCCAAACTAATCGAATACAACCTAAAAATCATATCACCTCTCGTTAGCTGGTAAACCAATGACCTACATATTAAGTCTAAATTTAGTGGGTACGGGAAATCCCGGAAAGTGCCGAGCTTTGGAGAAAGTAGAACCGGCAGGGGTTCAATACGGAATCTGGGGTGCAATACGGAATTTGACCGCGTCATCAGTATTGCACCCCTGTATTACTATCCAAAGTTTACATGGGTATATAATAAATAATTGGACTGAGGCCTTAAAGTTCAGGTCCCCGCTTCACAAAGCTCTCGTAAGCCTAAGATCTCGTAACTTTTCTCGTAGCTTTCGTACATCCTATACTGTAACATTGACTTACGATAGTCGTAGCGTTACGAGAGCTTTGTGAAACGGGGCCCTGACCCGCAGTATGCAGGACTAGGAGCCAGAGCCACCTGCCTATGCAGACAGTATGCATCAGTGGCAAATCATTTAGAATATGGAGGTGTTGGTTGGGCTCTGGAATGATCTCCGGACTGTATAACAGTTTTCCACACATCCGAACCCTCCTTCCTTATATGTCCCTCTGAAATACTAAAACCATTGTGCGTGTACGTTTGATCGCTCCCTTCCCCTCAATGAATCATAGGACGCCAAGTTATGTTACCTTGTACATGTATAATTATGTTATGGGAGATATAGACCTATGTTACGTTTTCACACCCAGCATCCTTTCACCGATCTTTGTGATTCAAACACACCGACCCCACCCCCAATCCAACCCCCTATCCATCAGTGTGTAATCTTTGTCATGCACCTCATTCTCCCGTTACTGGCATGATAATGGGTACAACTTTCCATGAGACATGCAGATACTAGCACGCATTTTAATTACTAGCACGCATTAGTGTCATCATGCATTCAATGATGATACTTTAAAAGCGCCAGCTGTTCGACAACGATGTTTACTCTATGAATACCGTATTAATTAATGCAGGTATCATCCTAGATACATGGAATATATCTGAGGACAAATCGGTCGATGACAGAACAAATCGGACGTGAGTTGGTTTATCGTGGACAAACACTGCGTGCAAGGAATAACGAACATCCTCATATGTAAGACTAAAAAGACCACTGCAGTTGTTATGCTTTCAGAATAGGTGTTCACCAGCCACCTGATTTAGAAGTATGAAATTTGACGAACTCCTGGAGGAAATCGGGGAATTTGGTCCCTACCAAAAGCGGATATACTTCCTGGTGTGCTTAACTGCCATAGTTGGGGCTTACCAGGCGATGTCACCTGTCTTTTTCTTGGAGATAACTAATTATAGGTGAGTTACAGCCGCTAGATATAAGAAAAAGAAGTATGCTTTTGGCTTTTGGATTTAACCAAAAAGATACAAAACGTTGTCGGAGCACCATCCAATATCATTTCGTATTGGTTCAATTTGTAGCCACCATCATACATGGATGTTAACTATCTGTGTCGCATTTTAAATTGCGCCTCGTATTTGTTTTGTCATCTTCAGAGTACGTCTAGCTATGTAAGTGAAATGATCTTGAAACGAGTATTCCCTAATCAGAAACATCTAATAACTTAAGAACAAGAACCTATATATAGGGTTCATAATTATGATAACCTGTCTCTCAGACCCTAGCTAAAATAAAGTCTAAGTCAAGTTTAGAACGATGTGGCATGTCTGAATTTCCTGAAAATATTAATAACTCAGAGCTCTTTGGCATCCACCCATTCCATGTGACAACTGTATGTTTCGGAATGTATGGCATTCAAAGAGAATAGTGGATGTTTATGTTACTAGAATTAACAGGACAAATGAGTATTTGGAAAGAAAATGGAAATTCTATTCGCCAGGGTTCGCAAGGACTCTGATAAGGAATAAATACAGGCATTTTAGTATGGTTTCTGTCAGGAATGAGATATACAAATCAACACGGACGTGTTGTAGTAACGTTGTATTGACGCAAGTGGTCAGTAATTAAAGATAGTATTTGGTGTAGCCACCTCGTACATGGATCACATCCGCAAGACCTCTCCTCGGGCTCTGAATTACACACTTGATTCACAACTTAGAGGTTTCTATGCCATTCCTTAAGCAAATCCTGGGTCAGTTCTTGGACATTATGTAAAGGAAGGCGCCTTGCTCTGACCATACATCCCAAATAATCTCACAAACTGCATGTTGAAGTTGGCAGCTTGTCATGCCAGGATACTGTTCTGTCTGGGACTAGTTTCAAGGGAGTCCTGATGTCAAAAAGTGGCAGACGTGGCAGTACACAGTGTACCATTTTAAAATTTCTACATTTAGGATGAAGTCCACTCCAATTTGGTGGTATGGTGACTTTGAGGAGTGAGTGAGTAGGATTTTACGCCGCTTTTCTCAATATTCCAGCAGTATCACGGAAGATGATACAAGAAATGAGCTTCATAAATTGTACACATACCGGAACTGCAATCCTTGACGAGCAAACGCTGTAACCAAAGGCTCTTCCCATGTGCCTAATGTTCAATTTTTCACTTGAATTTGCAGATGCAAAATTCCATTTCTTGGGAATGACACCTATGCAGTTCAGGATGACCATCACGAGCAGCTCATTGAAATGTTTATCCCCAAAGTCGGAGACTCCTATTCCAAGTGCACTCTGAACGACGTCCACAACAACAGTTCTCGTGGTGATGGTAACAACACCCAGTACACCTGTGATGCCTGGGTATACGACAAATCGGTTATACAATCCTCAGGTCCTACAGATGTAAGTTGCTGTGATATTTACCTTATGATAACATTTCACATATATGTACACCTGCATGTCATGATCTTTTGGATGAAATGTCCATTACATAACGTGTCAGGTAATAGAATGTTTACACTAGAAAATTTGATTCAGCCAAAATATTATACACGAATATAGATTGATAAAAGTCTACTATATGATAAATGTAATATGGTAAATGTAATATGATACCTACAATAAAAATGAGATTCTACGTTTCCACACCGAAATGATCAACTTCGCAGGGGCAATGGTTGGGGCCCTTTCTTTGCCCAGCAGCTTATACTTTATGCAACACTGTACATAATCTCCATTACCTTCTGCATATTTTCATATTTGCAAGGATGATGTAGTTGTATATGATTTATTTGTATCTTTAGTTTTACCAGATGACAAAGTTGACCTGTTTCGTGGATGTGTGAGTAGGTATAGTTTAACGAAGCCTCAAGTAACATTCTGGCATATGACAACGGGGCACACCAGAAATGGGTGTCCAACGTTGTACCAGTGTGATCCTTTCAGCCGGGTCTTTACATATGACAAGTGAACGCTATATGTACTTGGTTGCCTACTCATTCTGATCCTTCATCGGACATTCAATCGTTTAACACCACAATGGTTTATTAAATGGTTGAAGTCTTGTCCAAGTTTCCTTGCACACAGAACTGTCCTGTGTGCAAACCACAACAGTATCCACAGTACACAACAATGTCGTTTGTTCACACCTTGTTTTGTTCACAGTTTAACATGGTCTGCGAGAATGAGATTCTACGTTCCCACAGCAACATGATCGACTTTGCAGGGGCAATGGTTGGGGCCCTTGTCTGTGGACGTTTAGGGGACATGTAAGAATTAAAATCCATTATGTACACAACCATACTTCTTACACCCTAGACCTTATGTAATAGATCAATGAGTATGTAACCTTCTTCAAAGCTATTTTCAGACTTCTACAAATTAAGATTATGTGGAATTTGGCACTGGTAATACTTTCATGTTCTTGATGGTACTAAGAGTATATTTGCTTGTTTAGGTTCGGAAGAAAGAAAGTGTTGATTTGGACTGTCGTAATGAACTCTGTAGTCAACGTTGCCATTGCCCTGACCACAGACTTTGTAGTATTCGCTGTGCTCAACTTCATGATTGGATTTACTGGCATGGCAATGTTTATGCTAACATTTGTCCTAGGTAAGAGGTTTCCGTATTACATTTGACGTTAACAGCTTTAGATCTACACATTGTTACAGGGCAGTGTTGTCTATTGTAAAACTCTTTAGTAAGTTCATATCACATAGAAACGCATGCCTCTCACATTATATCAAGACAAGCGGCTTCATAGCCTGATCCTACTTTGGATTTTGTGTTTTGTTGTTGTCTAAGGCTGCACTCAGCAAATTAAATATTCCAGCGGTCTGTAAATATTCGAGTCTAGACCAGACAATCCAGTGATCCGGGTTAGAATTGATCTTCAATACCCCATGCTTGTCGTAAGAGGCGACTAACGGGGTCGGGTGGTCAGGCTCGCTGACTTGGTTGACACATGTCATCGGTTCCCAATTGCGTATATCGCTGCTCACGTTGTTTATCACTAGATTGTCTAGTCCAGACTCGATTATTTACAGACCGCCACCATATAGCTGGAATATTGCTGAGTGCGGCGTAAAGCCAAACCCACTCATTCACTGCTGCCTCTGAATTTCTACTACCACAGTGTCTTGTGCAGCCATTGCTTTCAAGCAATTTGTATTTATTTGTGAACCTCATGAATTTTGTTACCATTGTTAATGTTATACTGTTTCTTCAGGTTGTTGTTAATGTTTTAGAACTTCATTATTTGAAGTGTTGATTTCTGTATGTGCTCGGAAACAACATATATTTTTTTCAATTTCGTGACAAATTTAGACTTTCTACTTGTTTGTCATTTACAGCAATGGAATTTGTTGGACCTTCTAGGAGGACATTTGCCGGGGTGGTGGTCGAATACTTCTGGACCGTGGGGTTGTTCCTACTTACAGGGCTGGCATATCTCATCCGGCAGTGGCGACATCTTCGATTGGCTTTGGGCATACCTCCAATCCTGTTTGTGACATATTGGTGGTGAGGCTGTTTTGTCCATCACTGCTGTAAACTTACAAATGAAAACAAACCTCTCATCTTTGATCCGAACCAGTGGTTAATCCCTTATTAACATGCCTGTATATCTTCCACACATTTACAGGTTTATACCAGAGTCACCAAGATGGCTCATGTCTCGTGGGCGCACAGAAGAAGCTAAAACCATAATACAGAAGATTGCAACGTCCAACAAAGCAACTTTGAGTGAAACTATAATGTCCGACCTCTCGTTTGAGGAAGACGTCCAACAAACACGGCTGTGGAGAATATTTTCAAGTCCAGTTCTTCTACTGAGATCTGCCATCGTGTTCTTCAACTGGTACATATATTCCTCCATCGTTTATGATCCTATACATTTAGCAACATAGTATACATTAATAAGTCCTATAAACTGACATCTGTCGGTGATAGTTTATTGAAGATGGTTTGGAATGTAATGAAAAATATGTCTTTTTTCCAAATACTTGACAGTTGAAACTCATATTGACATACTATGATTCCCATCGTCGGTATCTGGTGTATATACGGTTTGATTTCACTGAAATTACTTGCACATTAGGCAATTGATGAAAACCCTTATTTCGCATATCTATCTTAAGGTATTAGTAAAACTCATGATTTTGACATCAGATCCTCATAGGTAAAAACAGCTCTCATTACTTGAGATATTAAATTTCCTCATTAGATTGTTTATTTCCAAGTACCACACCTGTAGGTTATTTATCTTCAGTTCTGTTGTTTTTCTATCTATCCTACATTGACTAAATAAGCAAAAGAGAAAAGTTTTAATGATGTTACTTCGCTTACAACTGCTTAAAAAGTTTTTGCCGCCTGAAATGAGACATAACCGTTTTTGATTTATATATCTGAAATTAATACTGTAAACAGTTATTAGTTCCTGCATTATCTGAAAGATGCAAACAATATTATTTACAACATGCTGAAGTAAAACAGAAGTAAAATGATAAAACACAATCGCTATGTACATAATTACACTCAACCACATTAATGTTGTATGTGGGTTTGTTAAATGCAATGTTGTAATTTCAGGTTTGCCATCAACATCGTCTACTACGGCCTAAGCCTCAATGTGGGCAACCTGAGCGGTGATATCTATCTCAACTTCTTCATATCCAGCCTGATGGAACTACTTGGAATTATATTGTGCCATGTTCTAATGAATAAAGTTGGCAGGAAGACAGTGCTCTGTTCCTCCATGGTCCTCGGAGGCTTAACGTGCATATCTTCTTTGTTCCCGCTGATTTATGGCAACTCTTGTAAGACATTCTTCCATTTTATGGCTGTTAAGATGAGCACGTTGCGTATATTACATGAGGGCATTAAATAAGTGTTTCAAGCGTGACTGGTATGATAATATTATGTATTTCCAAAACATGGTTTAATGATAATTAACTAAATACACATGCGCGCATGTTCATAATCTTGTCAATTTGGCCCTTTGCATTCCAAAGCCTATTGTGACTTCCATGTTTTAATATTCAATTTTATCATTCAATAGGAAGACATATTCTGGTAGCACAACATACTATTTCGATATTAAGACGATACACATTACTTTTTCTCCTTTTTTGACCTGAAGCAACAGGATGGATTCTGATAGCAATCACCATGGCTGGTAAACTTGGAGCGACTACAGCGTTTACTGTCATCTACATCTTCTCTGCGGAGCTGTTTCCTACAACGTTGCGACAGTCCGCTATGGGGTCCTGTTCCTTGTTTGAAGGGGTGGCTGGCATGGTTGCACCATACATTGCTGACCTGGTAAGAATATGTACACATGCAGTGTTTATAGGCATAAATAGTGTGACTGACGTCATATAGAACATGTATTTCTCATTTTAAGTTGGTTATGGAAGAAAGTACAGTTTCAAAATACATCAGATAAAACAAATATGTTTATTCTGTGTCTAGTAGGTTCTGTTGTTCCTGTTCAACGAAAACAAAGCATGCTCTTCATACGAAGTTCGATCTCCTTATGTATTGTTATTATGTTTGAATGAGGGGTGTATTGTTAACGGGGGTAGAGGTAAATTAATGTGAGACACGTTTTGCTTATGTCCTTTGTTTTATGTCCGCACTGGAATGTCGTATGTTGAATTTTATGAAAATGCAGTAAAATGCTTTAAAAATAAAAAATATTAAAAAAACGTTTTGCTTATCAAATTCTAAAATAGTCGCGCTCATGTTATTTGACACACATTCCAAAATCAATTTTAGCCAGAAGAGATACAGTATAGGTCCCCTTATTTCGGGAAGATGATGTTCAGAAAACTGTTAAAAAAATTAAACCTTCATTGAAATGAGAAATCAAAATCACGTCACTTTCGAAACACGAAATATAAGCACTACGGTATATAATATAACATAAATTCGTTAACTAGGTTATCAATATGTTTTTGGATGATAATGCCTTTCTTTTCCTGTTTGCAGGGCATCCTCACCAAAGGACCTCTACAAGAAGTTTTGCCACTTTTAGTGTTTGGTTCCCTCTCAATAGCGGCTGGAATGATGGCCATCATGTTACCGGAAACACGTGACAAACAGATACCAGAAACATTAGCTGATGCCATCTCGTTTGGAAAACCTTCGCCACGTCAAGATCAATATTCTGAGGTGCAAACGAATTAAGCAATTCAGTTATGAGACATTACCATGCCAAGGCATTTCTAGAAAACCAACATGATAGTAGGTTGTAGATTAATATATATATATATATTTATTTATCCAAGAAACCTTTGTGAATAACATGAATAACTTATATGAAGTCCCTGTGTGGCAGTTGGTGTAAAATAATTCCCAAACACTAAGACATATATTATGAATGATTATCTCTGCATACGGGAAATTCGACCAGTCTTCACCTGATATATTAAATACTGTAACCCCTCTACTCCCTTTTTTATATGTGTTCATGAAAAATACAGATGTGTGGCCTTTTTACATGAAGCAGGCATTCCCGAGGGTACCAGTTGTGCTCCCCTTCTTGCAGATCTCTTTCTATATTGATATGAACTGGATTTTCAATTCGGATTGGCACGTTAACATGGCCCTACTTTTTAGGTACACTCGAATACTCTTCTCTTTCCTTTCGCTCAGATGAGGTTTAAGTCATGTCGAAATTCGATGAGTCCAAATGATGCAATACATTATTTTGACTTATCATATGTTTGGTGTTTAGTTTCCGATGAAGAACAGATCTGATGTCACGTGTGTTTGCGATGGCTTGTCACTGTTGGGACAGGATACGACTTTTAGGACACTTGATATCATCATTAGCTTATATCTCACAATGGGCTTTGTTTTCATCATGATTATTGAAATGGTTTTGTGGTGATTATTTACATGGAAGGGAAGTACCCCGTGCATTGTATTAAGCAGAAAGCCATTTACATTAATATATGCATTAAACCCCGTCTGAGTTCATGGTTTTTGTTCCTCTGATACTATATGCCCAAGTTTGACATTAGTGTACTTGGAGTGCATGACTGCACAGGTGGACCTCTTATAATGATGGATATAGGAGCATGTTAAAATTGCTTCTTTGATTCCTGTGCTATAACTGTCATTAACTTTAGAGAGCTTTTTTCACATCTCAATCTCAGAACAAATGTATGCATTATCAACTGCACTTCACTGGCAACATAAACGATCAGATCAGATGTTTAGTACATATCCCTCTATTATCTTGAGGGATAAATGTAAAGAAATACCTTACTTTGAACCCTTTGAAACTTAATTCTGGCTCCATGAACGTTTTTCTTTGATGTTTATCATGTCAGATCTTGGAAGCCCGCAGAGTCTGTGAACATATCTGTTGTTCGATTTGGGGAAAACAGGAATCTGACCTTCACACAAGGCGCTATTTTTCAGGATGATCTTGCACACGCCATGCAATCGTAGCATCTCCTTTGTTTTTGGTTTTTCTCCCTGTTGTTTTCTGTGGCACTTTGCCATAAGTGTCTTAAGCAAAGTGAGTGAGTTGGGTTTTACGCCGTTTCAACAATATTCCAGCAATATCAGGGCGGGGGACACCAGAAATCGGCTTCAAATGTTGTACCCATGTGGGGAATCGGCGTGACGCATTATATGGGATTGTAGGGAAAATACTTTATATAGTTCTCGTCTGAAATATTGCCGATGTGACGTTACACTCACTCACTTTTCATTTCGAAAACGAACATGTTCTTTAAGCAACGGGGTTGTTACAATAACGACCATTTAAAGAGAAAAGAGCGACTTCACAGTGGGGCATAGACAATGGAACAGCATAAAAACGGCGGGGAAGTGGGAAAAGAGTTCAGTTGATTACACACGAAATACCAGTCAGTGTAGTTATTAACATTTAGGCTGAACATGTTAATGAAGGCAAGGTATATAATACATATATAATTGAAAACAAACATCAAAGTATTGTTGAACGACGACAAAACATAATTTATACTGCGCATTTATATGAATTTTAATCAAAAATAAACTTGAGCAATAAACCGATAAGAATGTAGCACTATTACCACAAGGTGGATATTAATTTGATAACACAAAATGATGAAACAAAATCAGTTATGTTATGTAATGAACAAACTTTGATGTTGTAAGTGATACGTCAAAACAGGAAATAGACAAAAATGAAGTGTTTTTACGCTGCATTATCATTTCAATGGTCTCGTCATCAGCGTGCACTTGAATCAATTATCCGCTCCCTGAGGCGTTAAAAACAAAATCAGATGCATCTTTGAACGAGGTGACATGCTTTAAGAGACACTCCCTGTTGTGTTTGAGTTCATCACGCAATATCCATCTATAATAGGGGCGGACGTGTGACGGTTAAATTACCTTTAGGCTTGTGCCACAGTTTGCCAAACAACCCGGCCCCACCTCCTGCCAACATAAGGTATTTTTTTTCATCTATTAACCATAGATGTAACATTTTTGGATTGAAAAAACAATGCTTTGTGGCTTGCCTATAGATGTCATTTTCTGAAAGTGTATGACAATCCGTTCCACAGCTCGTGGACAAACGATATAGAACCTAACACTTTTACAGATAACAGCGTATTCTCCACTGTAATGAGCGGCGTGTCCTGTAGATTCGGATACACAGATCAAGTTGACGGATCACGGTTATATATACAGCCAGCTTCTGGAACCTCTTCACATTAGAAATCTCAGTTTCAGAGGTAAGTCTCGTACTCTAATTTATATGGGCGGTCCATAAAAACGCGTGCGACCATTTTCCTTCAATTCTGAAATCAAATAACCAAACTGATGTTCCACCTACATCAAGTTTATTAACTAGCCTTCGTATACAAAATCTAATATATACTGAGGGAAACAAATAATGGAACACTACTTCATGGCAGTGTTCCTTTATTTGTTCTCAGATTTCTTCCAACAGCGCTATTCAAAGCTGGTGATGAAAACTGGAAAATATTAAAGAAACGCTTGAGTATTCCTATGTTCCTTTATTTGTTTCTCTCAGTATATATACTCTTAAGACAGTGGTAAGCAACAAGAATAAGTCTGAATGAAATAGATTCACCCAAGAACTGCAACAATGCACCGCAACTGGAGGGTCATTCATTGGTGCAGCGTCCTCTTCACAGAGTCAAGATACTGTTTGGACTTTCTTGGTGGTGTGGAGAAATAGGGGTGAACGAGATGCCAACTGTACCATTGCGGAACTGGGTAGTTTTGGGAGTGTTATCCAGGTGGGATATCGAACTGACATTGTCGTTGTAAGGGTTGTCATTGCAGGTATACGTTAATGGGACGAATTCATCACACTAGTCGTGGGTCCTCTGTCAAGATAGCACTGTCCCAATTACTTCTGGGCGGCGTTCACTAACTTCCAACTTCATCTTAATGGATGAAAACCCTTGTCCAAGGCTTATGACTTCCCTTCAAGCCAATGATATCGCCCCTGTGGGCTTCAAGATCTCCGGACCACAATCCCATTGACGATGTTTTGGACATTCCTGGGAGGCGGTTGATTTGGGCCATGCCAAATCCGGAAGCCTGCATCTGTCCCAAAGGTGGTCCGGGATATTATGATGAATGTACGATTCTGAGAATGTTGTATGGTGTTATGAAAGAGTGTTAGACGTTGTGCAACAGTGTTTCAAATGTTATACTTCGTACTTGTGGATTCAGTAAGGGACAATGGTGTGTTATATGGACACTTGCGCTGTATTCAGACATCAAGAGACTTTCACCGTGTTCTAACCCACATAATATTATACATATAATTTTTCTTGCAACTTGTGTGTGAGTGAGTTTAGTTTTACGCCGCACTCAGCAATATTAGAGCTATATGGCGGCGGTCTGTAAATAATAGAGTCTGGTCCAGACACTCCAGTGATCAACAGCATGAACATCGATATGCGCAATTGGGAACCGATGACATGTATCAACTAAGTCAGCGAGCCTGACCACCCAATCCCGTTAATCGCCTCTTACGACATGCATGGGTCTACTGAAGATCAATGTTCTAACCCGGACCTTCACGGGTAACTTATTTTTGTGCATATAAGGGATGCCACCTATATCCTCTCATCTAGCATTACATCTCACGTTATCAGAAGGCCAGCATTTTTCATGATTATTATATACCATGCTTATGCCTATACAGTTATACTTCGGATTACCTTTACTGAGAGGAGAATATTGCCTTAATTGTCTTTATTGCTGTTGTAACATATGTTATATTTGTGATCACACTTTCTCAGTGAAGTACAGATTCTAGTACCTTTTCTTTATTGCTACTGCCTCTGTACTGCTACTCTATTGTAGGGCTGCGCAATATAACCGGTTTACCGGTATTTACCGGTTCAGACCAGAGACCATATAATATGGTCTCAACGATTGAAGCATCATTTTTTGACCATATAATATGGTCTCTGTTCAGACATAATAACGATACGTATTGCGATACGCTGATCGAAAACCGGTATTTTGACTTGCATTCGGCAAACTTCGTAACACTCGGAAATCTTCGAATATTTCCTTGTTTTATTTTGTGCCAAATATCATTCACATCTGTATTGTATCACAATACATCACAATATATCACAATATGAAAATTCTCTGCAATACCCACCCCTATCTATGTGTGAACTTTATCAAATTAGAATACAGTTGTTACTTTCAGCTTATTTCTTTGCTGTTATATCTGGTATTCACACATGGATCTTTGGCGGACTCATTCCCGGTTAACGTTATACTTTGAACGTGGGAATCAATACGTAGCAGTAGCCAGACATTGCTGAACATCACGCACCAGAATCTATGTGACAAAACCAAAATGATTATAGAACCCGTGGCATGACTTGTCTATCCGACAGACAGATTTATTACAGTATAGGGCCTCGGGGCCAGAATACTGAAATCGATTGATAATGATTCGACTATCAAACAGAAATGGATACGACATGTATGATTGACATGTTAATACCTCAACGATTGAAGCATCATTTTTGTCACTAATGTGTCAGATTGGAAGTGTTCAGTATAAATCGACTTGTTAATACCTCAACGATTGAAGCATCATTTTGGCACTAATGCGTCAGATTTGGAAGTGTTCAGTATGAATCGACTTGTTATACCTCAACGATTGAAGCATCATCTTTGTCACTAATGCGTCAGATTTGGAAGTGTTCAGTATGAATCGACTTGTTATACCTCAACGATTGAAGCATCATCTTTGTCACTAATGCGTAAGATTTGGAAGTGTTCAGTATGAATCGACTTGTTATACCTCAGCGACTGGAGCATCATTTTGGTCACTAGTTCGTCATATTTTGAAGTATTCACCACAGGGCTAACAGAAAACTCAGATAAACCGACACAGAGGTCAAAATGATGTAAGAAAGCGTTTAAGTTAAAATCCCTTGAAGCGGCAATAAAAGA